GTCGTCGTCGGCGCCTCTGTCGCGGTCGTCGTCGATCGCACGCCACGGATTACCGCCAGGAAGAGTGCGGAGTCGCGCGGCAGCACCTGGGTGGGGTGAACGATGCGACCGTCGAACGACATAAAGTAGGTAACCTTCGTGTCGCCGCGTGCCACCTCGACGTCCGTCACGTACACGCGCACGATGTCCGGCGCCCCTGGGGAACCGCGCAGCACCTCCGTCCAGGCGGCTGCGATCTCCTCCGCGGCACGCGGCGCCGCGACGCGTCCCGGTACGGTCGCCATGAAGCGGTACTCCTCGGCGTAGATCTGGTTGGCGCGCACGAGCGAGTACCCGGCGGGGGCGGCGCGGCGTGCGAGCGTGGAGAATCGTGGCTCGGCTAGCGTCGTCGTGGCGTCGTAGCCGGCGGGCAGCGCGACGACGTAGCGCACGGCGGCGACGGCGTTCGCGTCTCGGTCGATGTAGCCGCCCGTGGTGTTGGTGACGCGCACCGTCCAGGGAAGCGAGTTGAGCACGCGTCTGTTCGTCTGGTTCCACACGCGCTGCAGCACGCGCTCTAGTCCGGCGAGGTCCAGCCGCTGCCCGTCGTCCACGCGCACGTAGACGCGGTAAGGCTGCAGGAGAACGAACGAGAATTTAATAACGAGAATTCCTCACCGGAAGAAGAAAAATTCAATGAGAGTTTCAGTTGAGAGCAAGGGATTTTTTCTTTTGCTTTTAATGTAAACCCCTCTGGTTAAACGTTAATAGATGCATAGGGCTAAGTTTAAAGATTCCCGAAAAAATTGATTAATTGAGAAATGATAACTGTAGGCTTAACTGTGAAAATTCACAGAAAACACGAGTCTCTCCAATAACCAAACTTTAAGGCATGTGAATTTTTCACTTTATTAATCATCTAGGGGGTCATATCAGCTATGAGTTAGGCTACATTTCCTGCTTTTACCCGATTTGACATCGGCGGCTTTAACATGGTAACCTCATCGCCACAGGCATGTCTTCTTACTGGGCACCCCACACGCAACCCACGACACGGTCGCGTTTCTAAGGTTCCACCGCCATCAAAAGGTTTTGTTGCTTTACCCTTGCAGATGTTGCTACACGTACCTGCTCGCTGGTGCACCGCACACGCAACCAACAACACGGCCGGGTTTCTAATATTCCGTCGCCATTAAATTTGCGTGTGCGAACGCTTCACTCTTATTACACTTTTTTCTTACTCTTACTCTTCTCTTGACTCTTAAATTCCATCGCTTTACCCTTGCAGATATTGCTACACATGGTGTCTAAAATTTCCCTCGCCATCAAATTCACGCGTGCGAACGCTTTACTCTTGCAGATCTTGCAACCTGCTCGCACATACCTGCAATACCTGCAATACCTGCAATACCCCTTGTGATACCTGCGCTACCTCAGCCCTACATGCAACCCGCAATACCTACGATCCCTGAGCTACCTGCAACACATCAATACGCTGGCGATACCGTGCCATACCTGCAATACATGCAACCCCTGCACTCCTGTGATACTGCAATACATGCACCACCTTCAATCCTGCGATAATGGCCACCCCTGCAAGACTGTCATACCTGCATCTGCGGTATTGCTGCCCTACTGTTCGCTTCGTGCCAGAGATGCCGTTCACAGCGGGACAGCGTGCTGACGATGCTCATCGTAGGCGCGTCGTGTCGGCTCGTCACCGCTCCCGGCCCTCGCTGCGTCTCGCGTCGTAGTGTCTGAGCCGTGACGGGGCGCCACGCCTGTCCCAGCGCTGGTCGAAGTGAGTGCTGTACACCGTTGAAGGCTTGCCTGGAAACAACAATTCGAGAAATTCATTCCGATCGCTATTTCCACTGTAGGTCTTTGCTGGTCACGGTTGAAATCTGTCCTGGAAAACAATAGAGTGGAAATTCCGTAACACTCGGTATAACCTGTAGGTATACACGATCGCACGTGTGTTCTAAAGTACTGTGCGCTGTTAAAGAAAATACATTGTCTTACTGAGTTCTTCCTACCAAAACAGATGCTGTTCCTTGCTACGACGCGGCAATCTCTAATCTAAAAAACTGGAAAACTAGCAATTAAATGCCACAGAAAATAAAATTTAAGGAAGAATGTTATCTAGGAAATTTCCCAAATACATGGCATGCACTCTTATATAGCGTGAATCAGCGATTATCGTTATGAAACAACGAATTGTACCTTGATGACCCTAGATTAATCCGTAACTGAACCATATATGCAATCTTTGTGCAACATGCCCCGATGTCCTCAATATGTTTTAGATATTACTCCGAATGTCTCCTTGACCACGATTGCCTCGTCCACACTTGTTCTACTTGTGTTAGCAAGCAGCACGTAGACTAATAAAATGCATCTCCACCCACCGTGCTCGGCACCGTGTGCGCTGACTACCACCACCCTTACCAGGTTACCCTGCTCCCAGAGACCCGCGAGCATGATTCGCTGCGACTGCCGTGTTCAGATGCTCGCTTCCGGCCCCGTCCGACTGTCACCACCTGCTGCAGCGCGTGCGCGGCGCCGCGACGCACGTACTCCGCGAACCTTCTAAGTCATCGGGCAATGCGACGCCGGGGTCAACAATGCGGCCGTCCCGGAGAGAGGAATATCGCGCCAGGAGGTTGCGCGGCAGCGCCCGGGCCGCCCGTTGCGCCTGCCGCTCGAACACTACCCCCTGGACGGAGGTGGGCGGTCGCTCGTATGCCCGCGAACACCGCAGTCCCCTGCCGCTGCCGCGATGCCGCGTCGCGAGTTAAGGTCGCCGCGACGAAAGCTCGACGAAGGTGGTACGCGGTCCATCAGACCGTCGTGCGCGGAGGAGCGTTGTCGAGCCCGGCGCTGCCGCCGCTTACGGCGAACGCCCGGTCCGGGAACGACGTCAGCGCCGGTGCGGCCCTCGGCAGCGCGACGTCGTTAGGCGAGTCGCACCACGGGCTGCCGGCCGCGCGTGAGTAGCCCACGGTGACGTTGCCGCAGGACGGCACGGCCCAGGAAGGGCTCTCGCCCCGCGCGGGTTGGCGCGCTGCCAATGGCCACCGTCATGGCGTCGGCGACTCCGCCGGCCTGTTATAGACTCAGGCTGCGTCGGGTCGCCAAGATCACAATGGCTTTAACCTGGCCGGTGGCAGCCGATATTCACATTCAACATGAGATATACTCTTACGGGTAACGATCAAGGTACACTCTTGGTGTTACCTATTACAGTTTTATCAAGTTACTTCCAGTCCATACTTACGAAAAAAACCCCCATTCATACTGGATCATTTAGATCGTTATCATATATAAAATTCCTACGAACCTATCGCCGCTGATTGTTGACGAAGAAGGTTCCTGACAATCTAACATCACAAAATATTACGAGACAGGTCCTGTGCATTCTTGTGACATAAACCTCACCCAGCATTCTCGGCTTGCCTGGGGGCTGCAATTCTTCTAAATTTTCGCTCCTCGTTATTTCATACTCATCGCAATTCCGTGCATTTCATATTAAACATCTTGAGCTAACCAGCAGTGCAAGATCGCACATGGCTACTACCATATTCCCATGCCGATGGGCTCGTGGCATCCTGGTCCCTTCATCGTTTGCAGGCTGTACGATGTCAGCACTTGACGTCGACACGTGTTGAGGGCTTAAGGGGATATGTCTCCATGAACGGTGGTCACTGGATCGTTGTTGACCCAAACCTCCGGCGATCTTAA